GAGAAATACTTAAATATAAATATTTATTTTATTTTATACTTGTATAGCTATTGGTAATGCATTCCTAGAGAGTCTAGCAATCAAAGTTCCTTTCTCATAGTCTTTTTCTTTAAAATGATCAGAACATATGCGTGCTGCCGCAGGAATGGATGCTGCATCTAATTTTAAAATATCAATCCACAAGTTCCGAATCGCTGGATCTTTCGGAAAACTATACAAATTAAAGCATTTACAATTATAATTATTAAATTAATATTTAAAGAAGCATATATATATATATATATATATATATATATATATATATATATATATAATATACATATATTTTTATATTATATACTTTTATAATAGCTAATAAATAATAATCCTTAATAGTTCGTCAATTAACTTCTGTGAAACCCGCCTATCCGGCGCTTAAAATACGAAAATCGCTTACACGTTATAATACGCTCTTCGCATTCGGAATTTTAAAAACCACGATCTCTCTCGCTCGCTCCTAATCGCGCCTCCCCCTCCCTCCTTTTATGCCACTTTTACGTATTCTATATTCTTACATATTAATGATTTACCGTAATGGTATGTGGCGTGCTTAAGTTACTGGTTGCACTTACCGGTATCACCTGCCGCCTGCGGGAAATTGCGTTCCCCGTGGCCGTAACTTTTAAAAAGCTTAAAAACCCCGTACTTAGGCTAACGAACGTTAACGTCGTGGCGCGTGGCGCCGTTTCATCGAGCCCGCTCTAAAAAAAAGCGCGTCGCCCGGCCGACATTCGGATGCCGTCCTAAGCTGGGCGCGTAAATGCAATCAGTAGCGCGTATCCTTGTGTCTTTGAAATCGTCGGCTCCTGCAATCCCGAGGCGGCCAGAATCGCGAGAGACCTCGACTTCACGGATTTCACTAGAAATTTTGAACTCGCGGGAGGCTCGCGGATTTCTGCGAGCTTCGAGATTCTGGGAACCTCGGATCGTCGAGTCTTTACGTAGCTGGATACGAGTGTGAAACATGTTAAAACATGTGGCTCGAAATGATCGTGCGACGACGAGGACAGAGGGAACGTCTGCCTTCGTGAGAAACTTCTCTAAATGCGCGCGCGTGTGTGTGTGTGTGTGTGTGTACCTGTGTGTTTCATTCGTGTGAAATATGTCTGTGTACAGGAAACTTGCGTAATGCGAAACGTCGGTGCTGGGCATTCGCGTTCATTTTCGCCAGTGTTCTCGCGAGACAGAACGGTAGAAGGATTTGTAACAATGGCGATAATAAAAATGACAGCAAGGACCGTGAGATGATTTTAAGAGTCGCAATCAACGTCGCGTTCGTTGGCGATGGCGTGTCAACAGTTTTTTTTTTCTTTCTTTCTTTCTTTTTTTTCCTTAACAATTAGCGCTTTTTTCAACGGAACAGAGTTTTCTAGAGTTGGAATGCGTACGATAGTTTGAGGATTTTGATCTTAATAAATGCCGCCGAAACCTGAACACCCGCAGACCCGTAGATCCACGTCACCCTAAATTTATTTTATTTTCTATATTTATACCCACCCTTCGCTCGCGTCTTTAAGATCCAGGAGTCGCACGCGCAGGATCGATTACAGGGACCTTCAGATATCCAGATCCAGCAAACGTTCCACGCAACATCTACCGAGGATTACGGCTAGTTCTATTCGTAACCCGACATAGTTAATAATAATCCGTAAGGATAGCTAAACTTAGCTGCATTCAGCCGTCCGCTTACAAATTTGGAAACGAAAATCATCAAATGCACTTTCTTCTTCTAAATTTTTTTCTTTTTTCCCTGTAGGACCAATCGACTACCGCTCGCGTGGCAAAGACGTCCCATACAGCACAGAACATTGCAATTACATTGTAGCAATGTTACAATCTTGCAAGTTGCAATGTAATATTGTTGAGACATTATTGCAACCTGTAATTGTAATATTTCATGAGAATGTGACAGCAACATTCCAATAACATGGCAATAGCAATATTCGGTAATCGCTAGCTTGTTCGTACCGCTATGCGACGCGCGTTGCAAAATCTATCTCGTATTTAAGTTTTAGTCATGATGATTATATGAAACTTGCAAAGAGTGGCTAGTAAGATTAAAGACATAGTAATTATTTTTATCAGTTTAATTTGTCTGATACGACCTCAACAGTGGGAATTCAGATATTGAACTGATTGTTCAAAAATCGGACAGATAAATGTCCGAATAAATAAAAATATATGCAACATTATTCTAAGATTGCAATAACAATGCATTATTGCAAATTCATTACATTGCAATATTACTGTAATATTTCGTTACAATCTTCCTAAAAGCGGACATTTTAACGTTGCTGCAATCCCACAGCAATGATGCAACAACATTTTGCAGTGAATTTGCAATATTGCAACATTGCGATGAAAGATTGATGCAATGTGTATGCAATCTTTGTGTGCTGTATGGGGTCTTTAGCGAACGAAGAAGAGAAAAAAAGATTTACAGAACTCTGCTTCGAAATTTGTGAATGCAGAATTGTTTAACGGTGACGTACAAACGTTCCTCGTCGATAAACTTGCGTTTTTTCTCTACAAATGGCAATGTACAGTGCAATAGTATTCGTAATTCCGATGTAAGAGCACGACCTCTCCGATTCGCCGGAGACGATAGTCGATTTTTCACCCAACAATTTACGGATCTTTTTGTCAACGTGGTAACAACCGACGGCGTGTGCGTATCTTTCTCCCCGCACGACGTTCACTTACGGGCGTGAAAATTTAAGTCTCGCGCGGCAGTCCGTTTGATCTCGTCTCCCGCATGTCGACTCGACCCCCCCCTCCCCCCTTCGATTTATGGCAGCCCCGAATCCAGCTCCCTTACTGTCGGCTGCGCGGCTGCCGAACAAGCTGAACATTAAGACACATCTACACGGAGAAATAGAGTTTCGCTATTATTTTTTTTTCTTTTTCTGGTTCATCTAACGAGCAAACAGTGTTAATTAGAGTTTATGTATATTTTATATAGGTAATAATTGTAATAATAATAATAATAATTCGTAATATCAATTCATCCCAACAACAAGTTTAAGTTATCATTTGATAGTATTTTGTTTCTCTTCTCTCTCTCTCTCTCATTTTGTTTTCCCTCTCCGTCTCGGCTTGCCTTTCGATCGATACTTTCTTCCTCATTAATATATATCTCTGTTTATTATATATATCTTTATTTTTTATCTGTTTTTTTTTATATATATGTATAGACTGATATCAACACGTATAACATCGACACTTTTTTTCTTGTTTAAATCAAGTTTTTTTTTTTCGTGGAGAAGGTTGCTTCGATTATCGCGTCCGCTAATTACAAACTCCCACTTTATACGTGACTAAAATGCAAACAAGTTACCGGACCGCGTTGGAAAATTTAACGGCGGCCCGATCAGTCAATTGTCTTTCATTTAGGTTTCGGCGTTTTATCAGTTAAACGTGAACTATCCTGCACCTCCGACTTATCCTCGAGGATAAACGTGAAATTTCGAGGTTCTAATCCCCCCATCGGGCTCCGAACTTGCTCCACGCCGAGTACTCGTTTTCCTTTTTGTCTAATGCCAACCCCTTCGCTGCAGGAAGATGCATGTCCGCAAGCAGGATTTCATTCGCGAGAGAGTGTGAAATCTATTTTTCCTTAGCGACGGCTAATTGAAAGTCTTCGTTAGTTCTTTAATATTCAATATCCTTTAATATTCAGCTCCTCGGTGGGCAAACTCGCGCGGGAGGATTGTTCGCTAAGGAAATGCTCGATTAATCGACGAATAAAATCCTGCTTCCCTCCTGTCCCCCTCCTCTCATATTAAATCGTTCAAAATCTGCGAGTATCTAAAGATTCATTAATCTAAGGATCAATCTTAAGCGTGTTACATCCAGGAAATATTTGCACTATCAAAGATTAATATATATATATATATATATATATATATATATATATATATATGTATATATATATATATATATTTATTTATATGTCGTGTCTATTAAAAGTTTCCAAAATGCACACTTACCTTCCCGCCGACGGAACTTGAGCCCGGGAAGATTTTGGGCAGCGAAGGGGCTAAGTCAATTTCTCGCTCTTCGATGCGCGAATCGCGTTTGATTTTCGTTTCTATAAGCCTACAGCCGGTTCTTCGCTCAGCTGCGTCCCTCGAAACATTCCTTTCGGGACGGGTCGCGCGTATTGCTCGCACGCGCACAGCTAAGTGAGTTCGCTATTCGACGGAAGGATGTACGTGTGTATGTTAATAATGCGGTGAGCGGGTTGCGGAGGGAAAAGAAAGTTTATCGGGATACAGTTATTACGATAGCGCGTGCTATGCGCCGAAAGTAGACGTAGTCACGGAATGTCTTCCCGTTCCCGTAAAAAAATAGGCGCATTAGAAGGAAACAACGCTCTCTCATTCTGCAGACTTGTGAATTTCTCGTGACGTCCGCGCTTGATTTCACGTTGAATCCTTTTTTTTTCCACTCCCCTTCAATTTCCCTAAACAGAACGGAATGCTTTGTTTCTTTAATAAGAATTAAGGATGCGGCGAACCTTTTCATTTTGCAGGTTGCCTGCCATCGATTCTTTTCAGAAAGTTGCCGAGTCCTGGGAGACGAAAATAGCTAAGGTAGTTTTAATTACGATTTTACGAGACTGAGAGAAGATGAAAGGGTCTTTTCCCGTCCTTACGCATCCGCACTCATTAAAGATACATTGTTCTTCGTTTTTCCTAGATTCGAATGCCTTAACACACCTATTTTCTTTCGAGGAATCGCCGCTTTCTCCTCCTCTTCGCTCTCTTTCATAATAATAGTCGTACAAAAAATTTGTTCGCAAGCCCGGTATGCGCAACGTGCATGGCAGTATTCTCAGTAAGTAGACAGTGTACATACGATATGATACATAGCAGTGTGTTGTTCGGGGCCGTCCCTGAGCGGCCGCGGCGATCCTTCCGGCCCTTTTGCAGCGACGAAAGGGCCGAGGATTGCGGTGTCTCGGAGGGAACGACGCGTTACCGGAAAACGTCGGGGGATTAAACAGGGGGCAAACGTGCAGCCCGTTCGCGCTCCGAGACACCGCTCGTCGCGCATAAGCGATACTGAGCTGACACTGATGTGTTTGCGCGTCTATCTGCCGGCGTCGATTCGATTTCGCCGGAGGCTGCCGCGAATCGATACGGACGACGCTAATGATGCGGCGGCAATTAAACCAAACCGATCCGAGAATCCGAGGGCCGGGGATTTCGGAAGCGTGACAAGTCCGAGGAAGCCCCCGAGCATCCTTGCGATCCTCCCGTCGAAAACGCCGAAGAACCGAAAGTCCGTGGGACTTTTGCGGATTCGAGGATCCACGAGCGTCTTCCGAGGCCCAACGCACGTCCGACGACTCAGCACCCGAGAATTCAAGGATCGTGGAGACACGAGGATCTCTCGAGAAATCGATGAATTTCCAAACGGATCCTCGTTCTCTCCGATAAGTGCTTCACTTATTCGCCTCTCTAATTAATCGAAAGGATGATCGATATTGCATTCGGTTTTTATTACTGTCGCTTTATTGAAAAGGGCGGTCGATATTGAGCTTAGCTTTATTACTGTCGTCGCTTTAGGGGGAAAGGACTTCCGGGTTTACGATTAGCGTAGTATAAAATCGTAGGAATACGCGAAGAGAAATCGCGCAGTCTCGTTTCAAATGTTATTACGAAGCTTAAGTTCTTAACGGCACTACACGCGTGAGATTGAAGTCAAATTGCGGCATAATTACCGATCGATTATCGTTAACATGCATAATTGGTTTATATATAGTTGAAAAGAGTCGTCGAATTCCTTCGCTAGCTCGTGAAAACAAAATCACACTTATCGAGTTTAGTATTTAGATTAATTGTGGACAGAGAAAGTGGCACAATCGATAATTCAACTGCGATTTTACCCGCATCTCTCTATGTAGCATCCAGTCGCTCGCTGAACAATTGCACGATCCGCGGGACGCAATTCGTCGTCGTTTTCGCCCTTTGCACTCGAAACAGGTTCCTCGAAATCTCCATTTCTTTCCGCCTCTCTCCACGCCTCCCCCCGCCCCCTCCGTCTCTCAATAAATTTATTTAGATTACTTGGTACGATTAACCATTTATTTGGTACGATTAACGCTTCTAACCCGTAAAATTGTCCCGCTACGTCCACGGACGATTTATACTCAATAAATAATAGGCTATCCTGGTATTTTGAGGCCGTGCGATCGTGAGCGCCCCGGTCGTCTTCCCGTCGTTCTTCCCTTCGGTGAGAGCTCCCTTCGTTTCCCGCGCGATCGCTAAATGCAGCCGGTCGGACACCTTCTTTGCCCCTCCCCTTCCCCTTCACATTTCCCACCCCCCATCCGATTTTAGAGCCACGATACTCGCGAACGAATCCTCAGATCGTCGGATTCCACTGTGTCCACGCTATCCTCGAAATCTTTGGTTTCATGGATTCCCGGGCCTCCGGATCTTCGGATTCTCGCGAGCCCCTCCCCTCCCTCTCCTTCCCGTCTCCCCTCCACTCCTACTACGTACGACGTCGACTCCCACGAAGGACTCGTACCGGGAAGCGTACGACCGTCGCGACGACCGCCGTCGCCTCTCCGTCGCGTGTCGTAATCTCGTCGTCGCGTTCGTCGTCGTCGTCGTCGTCGTCGTCCGTTGTCGTCGTCGTCTCGTCGTCGTCGTCGTCGTCGTCGTCGTCGTCGTCGTCGTCGTCGTCGTCGTCGTCGTCGTCGTCGTCTTCGTCGTCTTCGTCGCTTCGTCGTCTTCGTCGTCTTCGTCGTCGTCGTCGTCGTCGTCGTCGTCGTCGTCGTCGTCGCCATTGTTGTTGCCGCTGCTGTTTCTCGCGCGAGGACAATCGCGAGACGGCCCCGAGGACATTTCCTACAGACGCACCTGTGCGAACGCGAGACGATGCGCGAGGCGGCGAGGTTTTTACAGCTGCCACTTGGCTATCAGTATCATGATTAGGTGGGGCGCGAGGGTGGCTAGCGACGCGCCGCCCGTCACCCGCACGTCGCTGTCCTTGAGAAACACGGTGTCGATCACGTGGATGATGCCGTTGGTGCACTCGACGTCCGGACGGAAGATCTGGACCCACTTGCCGTCCCACTGCACCTGGTAGTCTGAAACGAGAGAAGGATCGGCGATGATCAATGGGATAAGCTGAGAAACGGCGGATGAAGAGAGTATGAACGGAAGCGCACTGCGATGCGAAATGCAAAGCAACGGATCGCTCGAGTTGAGAACTCGAATAATCAGAAGGATGAGAGAAAACCTTAAAGTAATAACGTCGCTTGAGACGCTAGAAATAAAAGTCAACGGATTAAAGAGTCGGAAAAATTCAAAGATACTCGATAAACAGCTCTAACAGTGTGTTCGGTGAGCTAGGAGTTAGCGGTATCTACTTGTGTGTGACGTAACGGCGCCGCAAAGCTGTAAAAAACAAAGTTCTCGCCGCTGTCAACGACGTGGAAATAACGCGTTCGTTATTCTTTCAACAGCACTTTCCATACTTGAGTGTCTCCGCCGCGGTTAACGAAGAGTCCGCCGAACTCAATCTTTTTCCCGCCCGTGATTGCCGTCGTCGGGGTCTCCGTTGTAAAACCGAGCCGCGGTTGAAAAGCGGCGGTCACGAGCTGGAAAACGCTTCGAAAATTCGCTCATAGGCGAGAGCGAATGACCGGGGCGGGCGCACGGCAATTAGCGCCGCGGGTAATCAAGGAATTTGCATTTAAATGGCGGTCGAAAGGCGCATAATAAATCGCCCTGAGCTTTCGGTCCGGTAATGGCGCGCGCGCGCCATTCGTTTCCGGTTGCCGCGCGTCCAGTGGTGTCAAGATCGCCGCGCCGCGCGGTATCGATATACGGTACTTCTTTCACGGCGAATCGCCGCGGCGTTCCGTTTTCGATATTGCGAAAAACTTCCCACCGCGCGATACATTCGTCACGCTTCGCGACGCGGGCGTGAAAGGGGGAAGGGAGCTGTTTACGAGGGTGTGCTGCATCCGCTTGAGAATTTCCTGGACTCGGCGCGGCGGCGGAAGTGGACGCTGCCTTTCACAGCAGCCCGCCCGGAAACGAGGTCCTTTCCGCAGTCCGCGCGCGTCGCTCTTTACGCGAAAAGTTCGCGCCGGAGTAAGCGCGTCTCCCGACCGATCGTTACAAAGTCGGTTGCCGCCTGAATAATTTTCCAAGCCGAACCGAAATATCGCACTGCCGTTTGTCGAAATCGCGCCGAGTATTTCGGTCACTTCGGTCGCTTAATTAATACACGCGAGCGACGGGTTTTCCCCTCCTCGCGGACAAATTTGTCGAAACAACGCACAATCGAATCACCGGCAAAGTAATTAGTATCGACTTACAAATCACTTCGTTCTGCGCTAATACGATACGTGGGCGGCTGATTTTCCACGGTTTAACGAAATTAACGGTGTAACGGGATTACGCGTTAACAGGATTAACGTAATCAAAGATTAATATCGCGTAATGGCGAATATAATCCCTCCTTTTTCCCGTCAAAACGGTTTCGCGCGCCAAATTGCGGAAGGAGCGAATTTCCGCCGCCGATCAACGTCTCTTTCTCGAAATCCCCCCCCCCCCGAATCCTTCCGCGCGTGTATGCGCTTGTTTCGTGGCATGCGATAAATGGTAACCGACGAAAGGAAGGTGGTTCCGCGTTCTCCCCACGACAAAGGTAATGATATCCTATTGCCGCTGTTGTCGCAATTAATTTACGCGCAACAATGAGCGTACTGCTCGTCGTAATTAATTCCGCCGTTCACAATGAGTATTGTTGCTCTCACCGCAATTAATACGCTTTTGTTTCTCGCGCACCGCGCGCTTCGCTCTCCGCGTCGTCGGTCTCTCTATCTATCCGTCTCTCTCTCTCTCTCTCTCTCTCGCGCGCGCGCGCTCTCTATCCTTCGCCGTCTTCTTTTTCTCTCGATTCAGTGACTTTTGACCCCGCGTTAAACCTCCCCTCGGGTGGCCCCCGTGACTGCAACGAAAATTGCCGCCCGCGGTGCGAATGCGTCCCGCGGGATTGAGAATCCCGGCTCCAATTGGTCGTGAAAATCGATAGCGGGGTTTTCGGTTTTCTCGATCGAATACGATTGCGCGCGCGTTATTTAACAGCTCGGATTAAAGATCGTGCTGCTGTTGAATAAACTGCGATGCAATAATCCAAATAATACAAAAATAATGAAACGAAGCGTCGACGGCTCATGGCTTGTCGCTAATCTCAGTGCGAACGCGAGGTTTCTACGCAGTTCTCGCGCCGAGCGACGTCCGTTTTCGCCGAAGAATATTAACTTCCACGCTGGATCCTGCTCATAGATCTTTGGTATGCATAAGCGTAAGCGTCAGCGCAAGCCTGTAGAAAATAAATTATAATCGTTTGCACGAAGGCAGCCGCCGAGGATCTAAAGATTCCAGGATCCAGCGAGCTTGAGATTTCGGGATCCGAGGATCTAGGGATTCTGCATTTTTGCTGAGAAACTCAGCCGAGACGCCGTGCAAAAATTCTCGAGATATTTGATAAAAAAATCCCGCGAATCATATTTAAGTTATTAAATTTGAGAAAGGACGGGAATTGTGAAGATCTGAGGAGAAACGACGGGAAACGCGTTACTTAGACTAAAATGCAGCCCAGCGTCCAAGGATCTCCGACGATCGGGAGAGAAACGAACGTCGCCGGCGCGAGTTTACGCACCAAGGTTCATCCTCTCGCGCACACTGTGGTGACACGACATGTACGCGGGAATGTAAACGCGGTGCGTAAAGAAGGGTGCACTCCTTCATACTCAGTAAGTGCTGCTCGTACAAAGCGCTCGTGTCGTCGCTCGTCGGCGACGATTTAAACACACTTAGCTCACTCACCGAATGTTTCTGGATTGCGGATTGCGTTTTCGTCGTACTTCTCATCTACATGTAATCAGACAGCACCAGGTTTGAGAGTGTCGGTGACAAGGCGCGGATGATAATGCGACGTGGCGGTTCCCGCGTCTCGCTCGCGAGAACAATCGCGAGCGCGTCGCGAAGGCAGACGCGACAGTTAAAGCGCTCTCGATAGTTAGCGTTTAAACGAGAGCGTTTTCGGCGAGAGAAGCGGCAACGCCGGCGGGAAAACTTTCCCTCCTCCCTAATGTACTTCGAATTTACACGTCTAGTTTACACTCGAACGGGATTTCGCCGCCGTCTTCCGCGTCAGACGAATGAAAATTTGCAAGACGACACCGACACCTTGAGGTGGCGTTAGGATGTCGGCTGTGTGTAGGCGAAAGCTGGTTACACGCCAAGTTCGCTACGAGACGAGTATACTCACTTTCGCCCTGCTCCCTCACGCGCAGCTTCAAGTTATCTCTGGCCGCCGGAAGGTAAAGGGTATCGTTGCTCATCTCTTTCAGCTTCGCCATTGTGTACGCCTGCTCCGCTATCACGAGGTGTCGCTCCAAGATCTGTTTCGTCTGCGAAAGTAAATTATTTATTTTCATAATTAAAGTCGTATTTTTCTCGATATAATTAACGCGCGATTCGCCATTAGCGAATAATTAACAGCGCTGGCCTGGATTTTATTTATAAATTCGAAAACTCTGGAATATACGAGCGTTTCAAAATTTTTAAAAGTTAAAATTAATTACTCTATTGTCGTAGAAATTTCGAGAATCAAGAGGGAAATTTCAGCGCAACGAAGAAGAGTGCCAACGACGTGGCGGAATACAAATCCCGCGATTACCGCGATAAGTATGCGTTTAGGGAAGATCACTCACGTGGTAACTGTATTCAGGCATAAAGAGCTTCTTAGTGGTTGATGGAAAGCTAATCCCCGCGTTCTTCCAGGCGAAGTCGCGCGGGGCGAAGTATGTGAACCGCTTCGTCGTGTCGTTCAGCTGATCGTTGAACCCGCGTCGCTGGCCCAGGAAGTAGGTCGAGCTGAAAAAGACGGCAAGCGCGGGGCGATCGGCGATTAATCTCGGGCCGATAGCCGGAAGTGAGAAATCCCGGTTTTTTTTTAGGAACAACGATCTCGGACTCGGACTCGGTGAGTAACGTTACGAGCGCTTCATCCGCGCCGCTTAAATCAGGTTTAATTGAACGAAGGGCGTGCGGGGTTAAGCGCTGCGGGAATTTTTCCGACGCGGGGGATTCCGGGCGGAGAGGTTGGTAACATCGCGATGTTTACTCTATCCGCTTGCCGGGGAAGCTCACCTTCGCGCGCCTCTTACGGGACTTAATCCGTTCTCTGCTACGAGGGTTGATCTCTCCGCTCTTTATAAAGCCGCCGACCCCTCCTTCCCCCCCCCCTTTACACTCGCCGTCCCCGCGAGTCTACCTGCCGGGAAATCCACCTACCGCGCGCGCGTATCAATTATAATTTTAAATCAGGAGATAATCCGCAGCTTTCTTCGCGCGGAAAGCTGCCGACGGTATGACGGAGCACGGATTGTTGGCCAGCTATTCGGATCAGCGTACATAAACAATCTTTCGCCCGCCCACTTCCGCTGCTGCATCTCTGACTTCGCGAATCCCCCCCCCCACCTGCCGAGGAAACCCCCCGTCGGGTCGTTGAATTCACGAGAGTTCGCGCTTCCGCGAATCTGTCGGTCGCGTTAAACGCGTGTAATCCGCAAACTGTTGAGATTTTTTTCGAATTCTTATTTTTTTTTTTTTTTTTTTTTT